CTCTACACAGCACTCCGTGTGTCCAGGTATCGGGGTCTCATCCAAGATGGCTCAGGAAATATCGCATGGAACATGGCCACGCCTGGCCCTCACCCTTGCCCACTAGGCCAACATCACAAAGGTGCTCACCTCACCGCACCTCGGCTTCCTCCTCTGCCAACCTGCTCTGTGATGACTCCCATCCCCAGGTGCCTGGAGTGCTCTATGAATACCCTAGACGGGATTATTGGTTCCAGGTGAGGACTCTAAATGGCTCTCCCCAGGCTGTCAGTCCCAGAGGGCGGGGCCCTCGCAGTGCCTGGGGGTGGGGTGGGGCTGACACCAGTCCTTGAGTGAAGGAATGAACTAACCTTCCTTTGTGAATGAATGGGCAAGCTGTAGTTTGCATCCCTAGGCCTGATCGATGGATTCCTCATTTGCTGTCCCTTTAAGACCTCCCCCTTTCCTCTCTGGTGTCAGCTTTTCTGGTTCTAACAGTTTGTGCCTCTGAAAATGCCAGGAATGTGGCAGACAAGGTGCCGCCCACCAGCCAGGTGTGACCTCCCAGGTGTCTGCACTCAGAACCTTGGGTCTACCTGCTGAAGCAGGTTTTCGGGGCCCATTATTCCCAGGTGTCCTCGGCTACCGGGGTGGGCGGGAGGAGGCCCAGAGACACGCATCTAACTATACAGGGCTCTGTTACCACACTAACGGGGTCCCCAGGGATGCCTGGGGACCGTCACCGACTTAACAAACGTTCCACGGGGCCCCCCTAGTGCCAGACACAGGCGCACTTGTGGGAGTGCTGGCACTGGACAAGGAGAGGAGGCTCCATGTTCCTTCCCTGTGGCCCAGGACAAGGCCCAGGTCCCGCGTGGCCCACGCTGTGAGGCTGGACGGGCTTTTCCCGTGGAGTGGGCAGGCACTTGGTGCCCTGGGCGTTCCTGCACCCAGAGAGCTTGTCAGGACCCGAGCCCTCCCCGCCTCAGCACGCTGTGGGCTTGTGCCTGGAGAGGAACCGACACCCAAGGGCTCCTGTGCCACCCGCCAGGCGACTGCGGGGGTGTGGTCTCCCTTCTCTGGGCCTCGGTTTCCTCGTCAGTCCGATGGGGACAATAAGTCTTGGTGGGATGAGTTTTTAAAGCAAAATGTTTTCCAAACATCTTTTACGTTAAGGATGGAAATTTTTCAAGTGAGCAAACTAGCTAAGTCAGCTACAGGGAAGAAATATCTTTAGATATCAGAAGTTGTCCTACTTGCTTGTGTGTGGTTTAGGAAGTGTATTGTATGAAATATGTAGATGGCCAATGTCTACTTCTGTAATCCATTTACTTGTTAATTAAGGGTGTTGTTCCGGGCAAAGATATGCTAACAGCCAACTTCCGCTTCTGTAATCTGCTGGCTTGTTCAGGAGACCACCAGGATATGGTCTTGAGCTTTATCAGCTGCCTGCTCTGAAAGCTCGGGGCTGATCTCCTCCAGCCCTGCGTGGTAGAGAGTCAGTCGCCGGCCGGCTAATAAAGGCTCATAATTAATCTCAATTGGCTCCGTGAGTCTCAGAATCGTTCGCGCCATAACATTTTACACCTTGTCTTCTCTGTTAACTCACCTCTTCGGTGAGTTTCGTGAGGACAGAAGGCTGCAGTGAAGTGGGCGGCCCTGGGAGGGGCTGGGGCGGTCCCAGGCCCCCCGGGGACACTGGGATCCTCGGCATAGTTTGGTCACAGAGCCCAGCACTGTGCCTGCACACAGTGGGCCCTCAGGAAAGGGTTCTACCCGCCCCCATACCATGCCACCCTGGGACTGACTGAGTCTATCCCCTCACCAGTCTGAAGCCCCATGAACTCAGGGAAGGCTGCCTAAGCTTCTGTCCCCTGCACCCAGCCCAGCGAAGGGAGAAGGAAGGAATTGATGAGCTATAGCTAGGCCAGTGTTTGGCAGCCTGGGAAAGCCAGCATGCCCTGACCTCTGTACCTGACGGGGTTCACCCCCAACCAGACCTGTACCCCCAACCCCAAGAGGTGGTGTGAGGCCCTGCACGGCGCTGGGTGTGAGCTGACCTGCCCTCCCACCCCTGATCCCGGCCCAAGGCGGCCCTGTCACCTCCGCTGAGGAAGCGGGGCCTGCTCTCCCAGCCCCACGATTTGTCTTGCAGCTGCTGCCGTTGCTCGGAGCGAGACACTTGCTTGTAGCTTGTGAGCTGTGTGTAGGCAAATCTTTCATTTTTCTTTCATTACGCCGGCGTGTACTGTCACTTAATTTTTATGTATGCAATCCTTCCTGACAAATATGATCTGCTGCCTGGTAATTCGTCTGACGCTCATTCTGTTCCTCGCTCTAATTACGGCTCCTATCCCTGACGCCGAGGCAGCCGCGCTGCCACCGCTGGGTACCGCACCTGTCAGCCTGGCCATGGCATGACTAATGCCCTTTCATGCCAGCCTCGTGTTAGCAAATACAGAGGCCGGGAGGGGGCCGGAGGAGGGAGAAACAGGGGGAGATGGGATTCACATAAGCCCAGCCCTGGGTCAGCAGCCCAGGAGACAAGGTGGTTGCCGGGGCAATGTGGCTGCCGCCACAGCACCCGCACATAGTAGGTGCGCACAGACGGGAGAGATGCATAATTCGAACCCGTGCGTGGGTATGAAGGCGCCTCTGCCCCATGCTTCCTTCCTGAGTCACGATGCAGTGGCAATTACTTCAGCCTCTTGCCCGACCACACGTGTGTGCGAGGCTTAGCTGTTCGCAGAACCTCGCTGGGGAGAAGGGGGTCTTCCTCCCCGCATCGTGGAGACTTCAGGCCCGGGGCTTTGGCTCTGTGCTGTCACTGCCGTGGCGCTTGGCCCTTGGTCCTGGGAACGTGTCCTGGACTTGGGCACACGGCCCCAGGAAGCCGGGCCAGCCACCCAGAGGCCTCGGGAAGAACCCGGCTTCCGCGGGCGGCCTTTCCCAGTTCCAATTCCTTCTCATTAATATAATAAGTGCAGCAGTCCAAGTCGATAAACTCACACTGTCGGACGAGCCCGTATTTCTGCCCCTTCCTAATGATGTGATCTTAACCGGCTCTGACGAGCGCCACAGTCTTCTCCCCAGTGGGACAAAGAAGGGCTGGGACCTGACTGAGGGGGACAGCAGGCAGTGGCTTTAACTCTTCCCTTTGACGGTTTCCCTTGAGTTTCCAGCTTTTTGAAACTCTTAAGACACAGAGGTAAACAGTCCAAAACTGACAGACATACTGATTTTCACGAAGAGAAGGGTCTGAAGGGACTGGGAAAGGCAAGGTGTCCCCCCAGGAGCAGGGGCTGGCAGCTGGGCTCCGGGAGGAGGTCCAGCATTATCTTCCAAGGCCTCCGACCCTGGTCTCCTGGAGGGAGCGTGAGCTGTGCAACGGGAAGCCTGCATTCCAGTCCTGGCTCTGCCACGCCATGACTCAGAAACGTCACTCAAGCTCCCTGGACTTCAGATTCCTCGTTGTCACAAAGGAAAAATCCTACAGACCCTCGTGGCTCTCTGGGGGCATGAATGAAGAAGTGTCATGAATTCATGGGATGCTGGCTCTTTGCACATCCTTCCTGAGCTAAAGGAAGACCAACAACGTGCCAGGTATCCTCCAGGGTCGGATGGAGTTGAGAGTTTCAAAACAACCACTTACGCACACGCACACACACAGATGCACACCCATGCACACACGCATATGCACACACACACACATGTACACATGCACTCCTATAAGCTGTTGATCTCGAGAGTTAGCACATTCCTCCTGACGGTGTGCTTACCCCGAGAGCCATTGGGACCTGTATGAATAGTGACAGTTTCCACCAGGAAGCCGTGTCTTCCAGAAAGCACCTCCGCTCTCGTCAGATGCCATGTGTACTCACGGCCTGCAGCAGGCGCTCGGGGTCAGAGGATGGGAGACACTGGCTGGGGCCATGGGGTGGGGAACAGAGTGGCTTTCGAGGGAGGAGAGCCTGGGAGCACCTTCCCCTGCAAGCACCATCCCAAAGAGCTGGAATCTAGCTCTGGGAAAAGGGTCCCTACCTCTGCAACACGCCCACCAGGCCCTGGTTAAACCCTGACACGCCTGTTAGGCACAGGGCACCTACACCCACGTTCCACTGGAGGGCTTTGCTGGCTTCTCTATTCCAGCTAAATATAAAGTTCTCCACTGTCCACTGTTTCGAGTTGCGCATTCAGTTATGTCGCCGGCATATGGGTTCCAAGCTCGTCACTGCTTCACGTGACCCGAAACGCATACCCAGCCCAGTCTCCTCCCGGGCCCGGCCCGGCGCTCCGCACTCCTGGGATGAGGCTCACCCACT